CACACACACACAGAGAGAGAGACACACAGACACACACGCACAGACACAAACACACAGACACACACAGAGAGAGAGACACACAGACACACACACACAGACACACACGCACAGACACAAACACACAGACACACACACACACACACACACACTTAGTGTCAATTGAACTAATTCAACACTGCAAATGGTCTCATAAATCATATATTTATTCAATCAAGAACCAATTTTGAGACAATTTTTTCTTGGTGTTTGTCTTAACTACTGTAAGGTTTTAATTCCGGTTCTTGAGCAAGTCAAAAATAAGTCTGCCTGGCTTTTTGAATAAATCTGATTTTTATTTGTATAATGTCTGTCATCAGTTATGAGATACAATTGTTTGTTTTTGAGGAAAGCTCTTACTATGAGCACTAAATGTGATATTTCTTCCTCTGGTGTTAACAGGAAGTGGGCAGTAAAGTTGAAACTAGCTACACAAACAGCCAAAGGTGCTCACCTCAAACAGCCGGTCTATAGGTGTAGCATTCTGGGACAGCAGGTCCACCTTCTGTCTGAAGGACAGTCTATCTCCTGACCCCTGTGGACCACAGCGCACATTTATAGACAAGACATGCAGCTACGGGAGGTGTGTGTATTTAGTATGTGGTTAGTTCCCACAATCCTAAATGCATGTGACTAAACTAAAACACTGAGACATGTAAGATTAAAGATTTTTCTTATGACCACATATATATACATATATATATATATATATATATATGTGTGTGTGTGTGTGTGTGTGTGTGTATATATATATATATATCACTATATAGTCATTCTTGTTTGAAATAAGGTAGATATAACATTTTTTGATACTATTGAAATTTTCATAATTCTCCACACCAGTTTCGATATCACTGCAAAAAAATAATACTAGCCTAGATAATATATTTTACAAAATCTCAAGTTTATTGAATACAAGTAAACAGTAAAAACATAGAAACAAACAAATTACAACAGGACAAATAAATACAATAGAACAAAAAGAGTTTAAGTTTTTCATGTACATCTATGAGAAAAAAAGAAATGCTACAGAAACTGAATGAAGAAAAAAAAATCCTGCATAGCCTTCACTGTATAAATTAAGTATCCAGATTAATCTTTATTAAATTTCCAAAAGTTATTCAGTCAAGAGTAGTGAATGATCAACATCCGTGTGGAGAACTCCCTGATCATGTGGATTCCTGTTGGAAATGTGAATTTCAAGGATTCTCATAATTTATCATTTTTGTGTATATTTGACAGTTAAATTTAGGGCTGAACGATTTTGGAAAATAATCTAATTGCGATATTTTTTTTATACCACTATTGCGATTTCATATACAATTATTTTTTAAAGCTCTTTATGTTCTGTATTAGTCAAAGACAAGCTATAAATCATTTTATAGTATGACTAATACGATATTAGATAGATTAAACTTAAATGTTCTTTTCTGTAGGCCAGGCCTATATGTTACGATGAAATAGGTCTAAGTCTTCAGTAATTAAATGCACCGTAACACTGTTACTGCTTGAGTAATTTCAATGTGCCGTTTTGAAGTACGTTAATATACGCTTTCAAACATTTCCGCGTGTAGCGTGCCAGGGTGGCCAGGTTTTCACAACAAAACCCGCCCAATTGCTACTCAAAACTAGCCCAATGGCGTTTCGAGGGGTCCACCGGTAAAAGTTGCGTTCCAGGGGGTAAAATACACGGGGTTCCCCAAACCGCGGACTTGGCAACACTGTAGCGTGCCAACTTGATGCTTCCTCTGAAGACTGTTTAGATGTGTTCGACTTGAAGCAGCGCTGCTTAGAGTAGACCGATGGGTGTGTGTCATCAAAGTACTGCGAGAGCTATAAGAGCGCAGACGTCTCCTTATGCTTTCTCTCGCCGTACTTTGATGTCATACACCGACGATCTTCAAGTCGAACTCACCTCTTTACTCTCGCGTGTCACGTGACTGAGTGTAATCGCAGTCTCTGCAGTTGAAAAATCGCGTTTTTTCATATCGCGATATTATCGCAAATGCAATTAATCATTCAGCCCTAGTTTAAGTGCAGTAAACCGTGTAATGACTCATTTTTTTTACTTACGCACATGGTGACCGGCAGCATTATGTGTGTGTGCGCGCACAGAAACTGTCTCTCAGACGGTGCTCAAGTACCGAATTGAGTTATTTTTTGCGGCTTATTGAACTTGAATGGTTTAAAATTGTTTGTTTTTAAACCACAAGATGTAAAAACGCAAGTAAATGATAAACTTTCGTGAGGGCGTGGAGCTAGAACTTCACACTGAGCTCAACTGTGATTGAGACGATAATCCAATATCTCTATAGATTGACAAATATCTACTGGTTTATTGTGTCTACCGGTAAATCGCCCAGCCCTACTTGCATTATATGGAAAGGAGCAGCGTGCACATTCTGCTAAAAGCTCTCTTTTTCCATTTTTGAGTGAAATGTTCCTTTACCCACTTGTTGCGGGTTTTTTGAGGAGGATTCAGTCCACTAGTTGTTGGATTATCATCACTACTAGGACCTGAACCAAAACGTGATTGTCTCAACTAGGGCTGCACGATTAATCGCATGCGATATTTAACGCGCATCTTGTCAGTAAAGACGGTTCTGTAATCAGCGGTAAATCTCCATCACCTGCGTGCTTTCACATTGAGCAGCATTAACTACACAGAGCCGCTGTTCACTGACGAGCTGCGCAAAAAATCGTGCGAATATGAACGTGGTTTTGCGCATTAAATATCGCATGCGATTACTCGTGCAGCCCTAGTCTCAACCATTGTTACCGCTGCCGTAGCTTACCAGAGCGCTCTGGGTGAGGTTTCCCTGGCTGATGTACTCCACCGCAGCCTCAAACGAGGTGAGACAGTAACTCAGCTCATCCTTACTGGACTTAGGGAAGCGGAAGTTCTTTACGTAACTCAGATTCGCCATCCTGAAGAAAACACCAGAATAACATTCTCCTGCACTCTTGTGTGACTGTTAAAGACATTCAATTAATAAATCACTGTTCTTGAAAGTGTGATGCAGAGAATACAGCACTCGACTCACCAGTTAGGGATTTCTGTTTTGATTAGCAGATAGAGAATGACTAACAGGAGATCATCAGCACACATGGCCTCAATGCTCACTGCTGAAAGAGACACACACGGTCTGTGATGAGCTGATACATACTGCACACACAAATCACAAGAGCTTTTCAAAACTGCCAATCTGAGCATTCAGTCCATCAAACTGATACAATGAGTGCTTCATAGGAAGAACTAGATGCTGGGTTTGGCAAAATGTGAACGATTTTCATCTTCAGTTTATTCAGAATTTTGTAGTAGCAAGTAAACAACATATAATTGATCACAACTGTATATAATTTACAGATTGCAGTTTTAACCAAAAAGACTACATACATTATTTTTATTTTTTTTTCAGTTTCAGTTCAATTAATGAAGGACACTAATACTTTATTAATTGAATAATCTAACAATTTAGTTGCACGCTGTATGGGTAACAATTAAAAGTTAGAAAAGTCTTGAAAATAAATAAAACATAATCTGTGTAGACTGCCATTTTTGGCTAGAATAGGTTTCATTATGGACCAGGCTGTATGGGTGAATCTCTCGCTATTTATTTTTGTGTGAGGAAATTAAGCCTTTTTTTTTTTTTTACGACTAAAGAGATTGTTTACATTACTATCATGATAATTAGCCCTTAATAAAATTATTAGTTTAATTCAATTCTGCATTAATAAAATATAGTAGAACAAACAATACCACAATGTACAATAATAATGATAAGAATAATAACAACAACAACAACAACAACAATAATAATAATAAAGGCTATTATTATTATTATTGTATTGATAATTTGTGTTTAATGTTCAGACATGTTACCAACAACTGCGAGTACACAAGGCTATAACATATGACCGAAACCTGAAGAAAACAAGCACAGGACAACATAAAAATGGACAGAACCTCTTGTGCCAGACCTACACAGTTTTTCTATCTGCCTTCAGTACCTTGTTTCGGCTAAATTGGGAAAATTACTTAACAAGCTGTTTGACAAACAGACATTAGGAGAGCATTCCTCTAGTTTACACATACTGCAAGTGCTATTGCTCTGCCAGGGCTCTGGCAACTGAAAACTAAAGACTGAGGTGACACAGAGGACAATCTGTTCGGGACTAAGTGTACACTGTTTAATCCGTTTACAGGAGCCATGCAGAAGCAGTCCGGTTAGAAAGAGGAAATTTAGACAAACCTTCACACGCACACGCACGCACACACACACACACACACACACACACACACACACACA